GATACCCTCTAGGTGATAGTTCTTGATTACTTTTTGATAAATAATTCGTTCTTATTGCGAAATAGGAGCACTATTTATCAATTTGTAATAAAAGATGTGAGGAAATTCTGTATTTTTTAAAGACAAAAGTTTTTGAGGCGAAATACCCAAAAAGAAGTTTGTAAAAAATTAATTTCTTTTACTTTTTTTCTGTACTCCTATAACAGCGCCAGACAACACCTCCAGAGGAATGACGCCAATTTTGAATCACCCTGTATATATCGGGTGGAGGATTGTGTTTCGTTCAGAGTTATGAAAAATCTCTCGTGGGGAAAGTTCGCCACAAACTGACCGAAGGTTAAGGGTAAGTTGTGGATGTTTAGGAGTTTCCAAATCAAGCCCTCCTGCCGTATTTTGTAGAAAGCGTTTTCTGTCCAGTAAAATGACTTCCGCTGTCTCCTCATCCGTATAAACCAGTGCTTTCCCTCCACATATGGGGGGGAAAATGTGTTTTTGTTTGACCTCTCATAGCCTTGGCGATTTTCAATGGGCAAAGCAAATGCCGACTTTGACTCACCATTTGGACGGCACACTCCTGCTTGACGGCCTGCAAGTTGATGACGTACGATGGACAACGTGCAGCATGTTTCGGCTTCATGAGGTGCCGACAAAGGCGACGCGACAGCCTAGTCAAGGGGGTAGTGAGCAAATAGAAGGCAGTGCGCGTTTTCATCACTGGTCGGGGGGAGCCGGCTCGCACTGCAATACCATGTGCAGTAGCGTAATGCCTTCCCAAGTGGGCTTTCAGCTTGAACTCTGCCAAAGTATTCAATGTGACCAAAGGTACGTGCAATTGGGCGAGTGGACTTTTTACCTTTAGCGCAGCCTCCGATGTTGCATCGATGCGGTCGATGGCCCATGCCTTTGTCGTCCTCTATGTCACTACCAGAGCGCTTCTTGGCGCTACCGTCAAAGTCCACAGAGTCGCCGAACCGGGTTGGCATCTTCAAGCCCCCGTACTTTTTCCAGTAGGCCCAACATTGTTCGCACACCCTGCACTGCATGTGAGGCAGAGCCCATGCGTACCATTGAGTGGATGAAGTCACTAGAAACCGCAGTAAATTGATTGCCGCCACCACTAGTTTATGATGCTAGACGTACCGTTGCACGACTCGCACGCCTTTGTTCCAAGAGCTACCGCAGGGTCAGCGCCAGTTCCATTGCTATTCCCATTCAAAACGCCTTTGTTGTTATTAAGCGCGGCTGAATTTGGTTTGTTGCTGAAATTCAATGGAATTACCACTAGGAAAAAGAGTTTGGAGTTGTTAATACGAACTCACTAGTTAGGAATGTAGACCTGCTTGAGCTTGGACTCGGCCTCTACTGCCTTGACGCGCTTCTGTTGAACGTACCTGGAAAGCAGCAAACCCAGCGTTATTAGCGGGCTGATGCCGCGCAACCATCACCTACCGATCGGTCGTTTTCCACATATAGTAGTACTCTATAATGTTCTTTAGGGTTTTCCAAGGCAAAAAGTCGTTCCGGATGTCGTTGAAGTCTTTGCCATACTTGTCGAGCGCCTCTTCGAACAGATTGGCTTCGGACGCACTCCACTCTTCCATTTCGTCCCGACACAACACCGGACCACTCGACGGAACTAAAGAGCACATGGCATTGGCCAGATCGTACTCATGCCGATGCAATGTGTCCATTGCATGGAACAACGTAATGTCTCTACTGGCTGCCGCGGCCGACATGTGCAATGAGGGCTGTTTCACGCTCGAACTACAGTCCAAAGCCCGTGCAAAGGTGCCGACGGACCGCGAGACGACCAGCACCTGGTCGATTTGCCGATCACTAAGATTATGATTCGGGGTCCAGACCAGCGCCTCAGTTTCGGCCAGTTCTCTGCCGTCGCTCTCGCCGTCGCGCAACAGCTGCTGAATGTCGCACTGGTACCGGCTGCCCACCCGGATCTCGCCCTTATCGGCCAACAACGTTTTCTGGGTGGGATCGTAGACCAAACAGTAGAAGAACATGTCGTCCTTGTTCAGGTAGGACGAGAGCGCTTCCGTTTCGTTGAACAGTGTGACCGAGCATTTGCCTCGGATGTGGGTGGCTGGCAGCGTCTCCACCTAGCAAAACAACAATTTAGCTTCATCAGATTTGGAGACAAGTTTTCCTAAAATTCGATAGTCCAAGTTGAAAAAACTTACTCTATTAATTACTTGCAATCTTGTAAATTGTTGACAAATTTGTATATACTTTCCTGACTGTGTTTCACTTCCAAATCAAATCTATTCCTGGGTTTCAGTCATTTATTGTCTCTATTTATTAATCAAAATATGTTTCGGTGTATTTTTCCACCATCATCAGTTTTTCTAAAATAACAGATAAGGTGGAGTGGGGTAAGTGCATAAACGGGCTCTTATTAAACTAATATGGCAGAAATTGCGATATCTATTATCTAGTAATGTACTCAAAGTTGATACCATACTATCCACGTAGAGTCGCCCAATTAATGGGGGGTTCGTTGTCTGGATTCGGATTAAATAATAAATTTGTTCAAAAATATCAATTGTTTGTTTTACTCCAAAACGAAACAAAATATTTGAATGCGGTAAAATAGTAGTTTTCGATACAAGGGCGAAAAACATATTCTCGCCCTCGTATCGAGCACTATTTTTTATTCGAATGAAAGATTACACGAATAATAAAATGCATCGATTTCATATTTAAAATTTTGTGGCAATGTCATTTTTTGAAGTTTGTAATTAAGTTTAAGTACTTTTTCAACTTGAAACACCTGTGGTCTTGGGATGGTGTATGCATGTTGCATACTCTGCATGACATTTGCGCTTTTTAAAAAGATTGTGTTTTACGTGTGACAACATCGCAAAAGTAGATAAGTAGGCCATTAAAACGATTATGAGACTGAACTTGTAACAAAGGTATAATTTACAAATTGTAAGTAAACTTGAAAATAGGATCAATAGTTGTTGATAAACCTAAGTAATTCCTTAAAAACGCATTTCGGTTATTTTTAAATAAAAATACTAAAAAATATATAATGACAGTGGCAAGTTCAAAGTGTCACATTTACTTGTATTATTTATTCGTTTTGTGTCCGATAATAGACAAAATTAATACTCCAAATGCATGCCAAGGCTTAAAGCAGCAACAACGCTACACATGTAAGTAAAAATAATTAAGTATCTGAACGAAGAATTC